TCTCGGATGAGAGATGAAACGTTTCTACATTTTTTTATTGATTTGCTTTGTTTTGTTTTTTTGAATGTCCAGAGGACCAGATTTAACTTTTTTAGATTATTACTGCTTATCAATCAGTGACTTATGCTTGAGTCATTTACTTTCTATACTTTATTATGTAGTAGAGGTGTTAAAATTTAAAGACTAAGACTGTTGATCTTCTAGAAAATTATTTGTGCACCAAGTTACAAGAACTGTACCCCTTGGTGGCAACGGTTACACAAACTGTTGTAGAATAAGTGAAGTAGACATATGATGACTGACATTCACTGTCCATGGTTGCATTAAAATCAGCTAATACAATCTGTCCTCAAAAGCACTTTTACCTGCCAAAATGTAAAATGTTAAGGTGCATTGCTTCAAATGTAAATGTAATAAATGTATACCGTAAATATAAAATGTATACATTTTTGTCTTGAACTCTATTGGATGTAATAAATGTACAGACAAATAATAAACAATGAAAGCCTGTAAAAATTAACAAAATCATTCCAAAGTAAAACACTGAACGCAATCTCCAAACAGCAACCATGACTGTCACAAAGAAAAAAGGAATTTTTTATGTGACAATAGAAATTATTTTTTACTTTGAGTGTATGTATATTTTTGTATATAAATCTGACAAATCCGGTTTGTTGTTGTTGTTGGGTTAATACTTAAAAATAGGTCTAGAGCATCTGAGCAGTGCATATTAAACTTTTTCCTCTCAGCAGATCATGCAACTGGCAGATCATCAAATTAGCATTCGTACTGCTGTAAGCAACATCTTTTCTGATCTAAAGTTAGTCTTAAAACAGAAGGACTTTAAATAAACAACTTAGTTATGCATACACAATTTTAAAATTTATAATAAAACATTACAAAACATACATTTAAGTAGTCAATTAATAAACAAAAGGTCTCTTCAGAGAGGCTTTAAAACACCCAAGGATGAGAGTGATGGTTTCTGGTGATTATTAAAAAATACTTAATCAGTTGACTGTTTTAACTAGAACTCATCAAAGTGCTGAAGCTAAACTCAGATCCATAACCAAAACACAATCCATCCATCCACCTTTCCACCCACTCACCCACTCGGGTCACTGTGTGAGAGGCGAGGGACACCCTGGACAAGTTGCAAGTCCATCACAGCAACACATGGAGACAAACGAGACAAACAACCATTCACACTAAGTTTGTTTTCTCAGTCATCCAGGTATATAACAACAAAAAAGGTTGAATCATGTCATCTGGACTTCGTTTTTTTGTTAAAAAAGAAACGTTTCGCCCCTCGTCCAAGAGGCTTCGTCAGTCTGAGGCCTAGCCATCTGGTATTACCCAGAAGCCACCCTGACTCTTGTGTTTCAAGCCTGCCTCAGATACCCCTGAAGTCTGGCCTTTTCACTAATGGTTTCAAAAACACAAAGTTTGTTTTCTCAGTCATCCAGGTATATAACAAATTGTTATATACCTGGATGACTGAGAAAACAAACTTTGTGTTTTTGAA